AAAAAAATAAATAAATAAACAAAAGGTGAGAGGTTGGGGAGATAGCTCAGCAGTATAAGCACAGTAATTGAGACTGGGTGTGGTGGCGTGCACCTGTAATCCCAGTGCTTGGGAGGCTGAAAACAGGAGGCTCACTAGGTGTCTGATCTGTGCAGTGAGACCCTATAAAACCTGTACTAAATACATAAAAAGAAGAAAAAAAAAAGGTGAATTTTGTTTTAAAAGATAATAAAAAGGGTTGGAGTAATCCTAATACTTGGGAGGCTAAGGATTGCTGGTTCAAGGCCATCCTGGGCCACAAAGTTAGTTCAAGGCCAATCTGAACTACACTGCAAGATCCTGTCTCAAAAACAAAGCGGGGGGTGTCCGCTGGCTGGGACATAGCTCAGTGTTACTTACCTGGCATGTAAAAAGTCCTCGATTCAATCCCTGGTACAGGGAGAAAAATGCAGCAGCAAAGAAGAAAAGCAGCTCTGTTGCTCAGTTACCCTTTATGTACCTGAGTAAACAAACTCCTCAGTATGGTGAGGTGCTGTCAGGAGGGTAAGGAACTATCTGAGGCAGATAAGGCAGGTTGATCCCAAGGATAACTGGCGACAACCCAGCACACAACACAGCAACCCCACAACCTGTGTATCAAGTTGTGGGTAAGAGTGAAGGTGCTTGCCTTTAGTCCCTGGGTTGGTCACCCTTCCTTAAGATAAGGGCAAGATAGGCTGCTGCCTGTCCTGCCTCTGGTCTGGACTTTGGCACAAGTGGTGGATCCATGAGGCCTCACCTGTACACAATTCCTGCACCTTACGGAGACACTGCCCGGCCATGGCCTGTAGCCCCTCCAGGGTGAGCAGGCATCGGTACTCCTGCATCCAGTCTATAGGAGCTACACAATAGGGAGGGCGGGCTGGATCCATGCTGGTCCTGAAACCTGCCCTGCACACCCCTCCCAAGTTCCAGGTTAGGCTGCTGACCTGCTGAGAGCTCTTCTTGCATGCGCAGTCTAAGCAGTGCACAGGCTTTCTGCAGGCACTGGGCCTCCATCTCTACGTCCACAGCACTGAACCTGGAGCTGGATATACTCGACTGGGTATGAGTCAGGGAAACTCTATGGCCAGGCCCCATGTTACCACCACTGATGAGGTCTGGAGAAAGCCCCTGGCCATTCCACAAAGAAACCTCCTGGGGCTGCTCCTTAAACCTGCAAAGTTTAGAGCAGGAAGCCACCAGGGTCCCACAATCCCAGCAAGGATACAGACATCTGCATTTTCTGGAGGAACTGGTTTTTGGCAGCATTGGTGGCATCATTGGTTTGTGTGGAGTTGAGATGGGTCCACAGGCTGGAATACATAGCAGAGTACCCCAGGAAGCAAAGAGAGGTAGTTATTCTGGTCAACTGGGCTGGGCATTGGGAGCAAGGTGAGGGACAGGGTAAGGGCTCCAGGCTAGCTGATGGCCAGCAGAGGCTTCAAGGGGACCCTGGGAAACTTAACGGATACTGACCAAGACAAGGGGACAAAAAACAGAACTAGTCAAGGAAATACTAAGAGAAAGAACAGGTCAATGATGGTGCTTATCTAGCATATGCAAAGCCCACTACAAAAAAAAAAAAAAAAAAGTACTAAAAGAAAAATGAGCCAAAAGACAGAAAGAAAGAAAAATGAGCCAGGGATAGTGGTACACACTTGAATCCAAGCACTTGGGAGGCTGAGGCAGGAGCATCACTGCGAGTTCAAGGCCAGCCTGTGCTACAAAGTGAGCTCAAGGTCAGCCTGACTTGCATACTGAGATCCAGTCTTGGAGAAAAAATAGAAGAATCTACCCCCCACCCTATCAAGGATAAAGGAGCTAGCAGTGACCAGTTACTATGACGGGTAAGAAACTTACATGCTTGCTCTGTATCAGGCATAGTGCAATAACCTCAAAGGTACCACCTGAACCCTCTATCCCCAAAACCTCTGTAAAGCTGAGTTTATTGTTGTTTCCAGAGGAAGAGACTGAGACTTGGAGACACCAAATGTCATGTTCAGGTCTCACAGCTTGTGAGTGGTTGAGGTAGGGTCTCAAAGCTCCCTGAACCTGAGGCAACTGTAATAGTTTTAGCTGGACATACTGAACACAGAAAGTGACAATGCCTAGTAAAGAAAGCAAGGAAGCCAGGTGTCATGGCACATATCTGTATTCCCAGCACTCAGGAGGCTGAGGCAGGAGGATCATCATTGAGAGTTTGAGACCAGCCTGGGCTACAAAGTGAGCTCAAGAACAGCCTGGGGGAAAAAAAAAAAAAAAAGAACAGCCTGAAGTACATAGCAAAATACTGCTTCAAAAAGAAAAAAAAAGAGAAGGAAGAAGGGGGGGGAGAGAAGGGGGAAGAAAAAGAAAAGGAAGAAGAGGAAAAGGAGGAGGAGGAGAAAGAGGAGAGAGGAACCTGCTACAAAGTATTGCCTGTATGTCACTGAGCTGGTGACAGCTCAGATTTCTGTAAGTCTTTCTGTCCCCACCCTGTCTTACCAGGAATTCTGGAAAGCTGCCTTCCTGAAGGCCATGGGCAGCCGCAGCAGGATCCTGTCAGAGAAGCCAGTGTTCAGAACAACCTCATCTTACTTTTGGGGCTGCCAGTCCTATTTCCAGCTCATTTCTCACTGGAGGTAAGGGTCTTTATTCTCCCCAGTTTCATATCACATCCTGTCTTGTGGTTCTAGGGATTGAATCCAGTGCCTTTGAGTGAGATAGACCCTTTTTTATATTTTGCTTTGAGACAGGATCTGATTAAGTTGCTAAGTTGCTCGGACTGGGCTCATAGCTGCAATCCTCCTGCTTCAGCCTCCTGGAGTTCTGAAATGACAAGCACATGCCACCAGCACCCCTGGAAGAGTCTTCCAGAGTGACATGGGAGCCGAGCCATCCCAGTACCTGGCTGAGAGAAGAGAGAACACGATAAGCCAGTCATGGCAGTACACTCTTGTAATCTCAGCGCTTGGGAGGCTGAAGAAGTTCAAGGCCAGCCTGAACAGCATAGTACGATTCTGTCTCAAAAAACCCCCAACAACAAAAAGAGGACACCATGAACAGGCATAGGTCGAGTGCTCCAGAATCTACCTGCAGTTCCTAGATGGGGTTTATTCACCCCATCGAGTTGGTGGGGTAGTTGGTGGGGACAGGACAGGGCAGGTTCCAGCATGTCAAATCTAGTACCATCACAGCCACCTGCTCCCATTGGTCAGCTGAAGAACATAAGTATCATGGGATGATACCCAGGACTCCTACATCCAGTTCAATGTCTGCCCCTCTCTGTACCCCAAGCCCCAGACTCCTGCTGGGGCAGCAGATCTAAGCAGGTAAAGATGTAAGTTTTTTCAGCTTTTAAGGGAAACCTACCCCTTCTCCTTGAGTGTGAAGGTTTCTGCTGCATGAGGATAACCTGACAGCGTCATTTGTTCCCTGTGGTTCGATTCAAGTCTGGTGGCTTGGGCTCCTATCCCCACAGGAGGCCTGTTTCTCACCAACGGAAGCTCTGGGTGGCTCTTGGCAGGCACCTTAGTCTGATGGATGCCCTTGGTAGGTCTTGTCCTTGAAGAACAATGGCCAACCCGGTTTGAGGACTGCGGTACGGCAGAGGCAGTGGTGCCAGGAGACAAAGCAATGGACCCAGATTTCAGGCTGGGAGTTCTTCCTCTCTCTGCAGTCTTAGAGATGCCTTTCCGCACCCGTATTGCCTTCTCCAGTGCCTGGGTCAGAAGTTCCAGCTCCTTGAGGTCTTGGGGGCTTGGTGTGCTTACTGTGAAAGCCAGGAATTACGTAGGGGGTCCCTTCCCGCGGCCCCAGAATGTTCCCTTAGCCCTGCACATTCGAGAGAACAGGGGTAGCACCTGGAGATGCTCAAGGGGATTTACCTGGAGAAGGGTCTTTTTTAGTTTTTGACCCAGGAGGTGGCTCCAGAGCTGTGGTCCCAACTGGTTCCCTGCAAGGACAGAGCACCCATGGTTGAAACAGACTCCATCCTACAGCCCCACAAACCTGCCAGGATAACGTTAGGAGATGGCATTGATAACCGGCATCTTGGAAGTGTGGGCGCATGGACCCAGCCTCCTGTCCCGGAAGCATGATTCCGAGGATACGAGGGAGAACTGGCCAGGGCTTCCTGGGATCCACATACCAGGCCTGCAGCAGCCGCCGGGAGACGCGCAGGCTTTGCTCCAGCTGCCGCTGTCGCTCTGCGCAGGCGTCCAGGGCGCCCCGAAGCTCCGCCATCAGCCTGGGGGGAGTACATCGACGGCTCAGCAGCCCGCCTGGGATCGGGCCTCGGGCCGCGCACCCTCCCGTCCCGTTCCCTCCACACTGAACCTACCGACGAGCGCAGTCAGCCTGCAACAGGACAGCCATTCGGACGTTCGGAGCTTTCCAGCTACAGCAGCTGAAGTTTCCCCGCTTCCGCGCAGGAGGCCGCCCCTTCCGACCAGGCCACCCAATCCCGAGGCCAAGGATTAGCCCCGCCCACTGCAGACTCCCGCTCAGAGTTGGAAACTCCGGAAGCGCGGAGACCTCAGAGAACTCAAAGGCTTCGGGTTTGGATTACCAAGGAAAAGGGAGGATGTTTTTCTTACACTCCCCTTACAGGGCGCCTTTAACCGGTAGCTTTGTCTTAATCTGTCCTTGTCGAACGTACTGAAGACAGATGTACTGTCTTGCTGAACCCAGGGCCACCTAGCACTGGATCAGGTACACAAATGAGGTAAGAATGTTGTTAGGATTGGGAAGAGGGTGTCAAGTAAGAATTGATTTTTCGAAATGACCTGAGGTGATGACATCCGGGAAAGTTTCAGGCACCTGGGTAGGGGGGTATGAAGCCCAGATCCAGAGCAGGCCAAATGAATCATGGATGTGGCAAGATGACCCAACGTGGTATATGAAAACCTGAAGGGAGCCCAGAGAATTGAGAGCTGGGGGAAAACAGTGGAGGTCAGGAATGTTCTAGGAGGGTGCTATAAATGAAATGCTAAGGTCTGAGCAGTGTACACGATGGAATGAAATCCAGGCCTCAGTGGCTCCGGGGATCCTGGATATAGATGCTGCTAGAAGCATCAGCTCCAGTAAGACTGAAGATAACAGGAATAAACATGGCCAGGAAATCTCACATGGCAGCTGGATGAACACCCTTAGCTGGGGTCAGGGCTTACATGTGGAGAGGGGTTAGAAGACATAGTGGGGAGAGCTGAGGGTGCCTGGCAGACAAGCAGAAGAAGGGGGCAGGGACACAGGCAGCACCTGTAGAGTGGGAGGGGAGAGGAAAATCTTCAAACAGTACTTAGGAGACCCAACATCTGTTACAGTTTGTGTACAGATATCTCCTGAAAGCCTCACATGGTCACAGGGATTTTCCCTTCCGAGATAGCTGAATAGTGACTGATTTGTAGTTCAGTGCTGTAATTAAGGGTGGGTGATTGCTGGATCACTTTGCTGACTGGACTGGCACTACCCTAACCCCAGTATACAGGATACAACATAAGGGACAGAAAGAGGCTTGCCTTGTCTCTCTTGTTGCTTGTGTCTTATGCCATCATGAACACTGCCTTGGAGTCAGCCCATCATGGACTAAAACCTCTACAAACTGTGTGCTAAATAAACCTTTCCTCCTTTTTGTGTGTCAGGTATTTTTGTTTTATTTATGTGTGTGTCCAGCTCAGCCCACCAGGGGGCGGGGCTGGCTGGCATGTGGTGCTGGGGGAATGAACCGTGGTCCCTGTGCTTTGCTTAGCTTGTTGTAAGTAGGTGCTTCAGACCACTGAGCCATCTCACCAGCCCGTGTCAGGTATTTTTGTCTTGGCAAAGAGAAAAAGTAAGACAAAGACCCTATAGCAGAATCAGAGGGTCCCAGGTATCCCTGGAACACTTCCCTTCTACAGGTGCAGACTGGAAGGCAAAGAACTAAGTCTATCTGGGGTGGAGCTCTTCATCAAGGAAAACACAGACAAGAGGCAAGACAGTTAAGTGATGAGTTACCACCCATGTGCCACTGTCATTACATTTAATCCTCACAACACCCCTGTGAGGTAGGTATTGCCCCATCTTACAGATGAGGAGCAGGCTCACACATACCCAGGGGCAGTCAGGATAGGTCTACAATTCCAACACTTGGGGTCTCATCCCTCCCATGCCCCAGCCAGGGTTAGAATTCTCTTACAGTAGCAAGGACAGCTGCCACGAGTACATCCACATACACACAGCAAAGTGAACACTGAGTCAACTTTCCCCATCCCCTGTACTTTTCGTTCAAAAGTAGTTGGGAACACTCCTGGCCATGTGGTTCTGTTACATTTAAGAAACAAAAGTGTACCCTAGAAGGGTGATGTGTCTGTGCTGGGCCGTGAGCAGACTCCCCAGGCATGATTGAGGTGCTTCCTCTAAAGCTCATAAGCCAAGGAGTTAATGCATAGTAGGCGAGTGCTCTACCACTGAGCTATATCCCCAGCCCCGTCATTTTTGAGGCAGAAATCCAGTAAGGGAAAGCAGGATCTGCCCTCCACAACTCCTGAATCCATGGCAGATCTACAGCTGGGATCAGATAAAGGCACACCCTCTGGCTGCTCTTCTGTCTCTTGTTTACCTGAGATGTTGCAGATGACTTGATTTTTTTTTTTTTTTTTTTTTTTTTGCAGAACCGGGGATTGAACTCAGGCCCTTGCACTTGCCAGGGAAGCACTTATTCCACTGAGCCATTTCCCCAGCTGACTTGAATTTTTTTCTGGCTAACCTTTTTATGCAAAAGGGTAAAAGATTTTTGCATAAAAAGAGTACTGGGATAAGCAGGGCAAGGTGGTGCACACCTGTAGTCACAACACTGGGAGAGTGATGCAGGAGCATCCCAAGTTCAGGCCCAGCCTGAGCAATGTAGACACTTTCTCAAAATAAAAATTTGTAAAAGTTGGGGATGTGGCTCAGTGGGGACTCTGGGTTCAATCCTAATATTGTTAAAAAAAAAAAAAAAAAAAAAAAAACAGAAAAACAAAAACAAAACTCCCCAAACAAACAAAAGTAGAGAAAAGTTACCACCATAACATGGGAGAGGCTGGTGTTAGATTTTTTTTTCAGTTAAGCCTAAATAATGCTGGCAGTCTCTTAACACTGCCTATTTTAAATGTTAACTTTCTTCTCATCTTGGAAGAATCTAGAAATAAAGGGGAAAGTATGGCCCAGAAATTCAGTGCAAAGAGAAATGTTTATATGGACACCACAGGGACAGAGACAAACACTCCTGGAGGGAGAGAGGGAGGGAACAGTTCCCACACCTGGTAGTCATGGCATAATCTACACAGATGTGCAAGGACACAGGTTCCCTCTCCACGAGGTTGCTGGCCCACAAGTGGGGGGGGATATCTGGTGCATGCCATGGTGGGTGAACATACAGTGGTCAGTACCACTGAGGCCCCAAACGAGAAAGATGCTGGCTAGGGACTCAAGCTGCACCAGCCTACATAGGTCACATGTGTTTGTGTGAAAGCTCTCAGCTCCTGGCATGGAGCTCAGTGGGGCTGAGAAGACCAGAATAAGGGCTTGATTTTTTAAGACAGTGGGTAACAGCGGGTACGGGATGTAGGCTTCACTTGGCATGGTATGACTGCTTTGAGGTGAAATATTCCAAAGAGGAGTTGAGCTTTTCACATTGATATGACGTTCTAAGGGCCTGCACAGGAATTCCTTAGAGAAATAAACTTGATACTTACAAGTTACCCCTCTGTTTTGTAGAACTGACCCAGATCTATACAGTTCCCTCCTGCAGTACCTCCTTCTGTTGTAGCAGAACAGTAGCCCTCCTTGGTAAACATTCACTGCAACAGACACCCTAACACACACTCACAGCTTCAGGAAGCCCAAGTTCATGTCCTCATCACTGTGCGTAGACAGATTTTGCCGTTTCACTTGTTGCTGGGGAAGAATATTCTCTGAGGGATTTGGGGGACGACACTGTAAACATGACTTCTTGGACTGATGGTGGCAGGGATGTGTGTTTGAGTCGCTGCCCAGGGACAGCACTGAGGTAGATTGTGGAGGGTCTCCTGAGCTGCCATCCACAGAGTTTGTGGGACTCGAGGAGTACCCTGAGGTTGTGACATCTTTGCTGGGCTTCCTCTTGCAGAGAAGTGGCCTGGGCCCTGACATTGGAGGTGTCTGGGTGCCTGGTGCCTGGTGTCCCTCATCCTCTGGGTAGGCCTCTTCATCACTTGATTCCTGGCAGCAGTGTTGTTCTGGGTTTAGGTAGACCACAGTGACATCGAGGACACCACTGGGAGTGGTCACTGTAGGAAATTTTGGAATGGGGGAGGTCATTCCATAGCCTGAGCATCAGAAGTAACCCTCTGCCTGGTCAGGACCTGGACAGTCCAGACTTTGGCTCACAGCCAGGACAGTTTACAGCCTCCTGTACCTGGTTAAATATCCCCTACCAGGCTGTGGTCCGTTATATCACAGCTGAAACCTGTGGGTGGCATGCTTCACTCATTGTAGGAGGGCAGTGGAAGGTAGCAACTGACTATCTAACTTCCTCAGTCTCCCCAAGTGGACACAAAATTAAACAACTGGAAAGGACTAAAAAAATCTGCCCAATCGGGGCTGTAGGGATAGCACAGTGGTCTAAGTCCAGCAAGCACAAGGACCTGGGTTCGATCCCTGGTACTGCATGCTGCGATGGCTCTGGAACCCTGGGCACACCATGCCAGCCACCAAAACCAAGCATGATAGTGCACGCCTGTAATCCCAGCACTGGGAGGCTGAGACAGGAGGATCACTACAAGTCTGAGCTGTGTAGCGAGACCCTGTACCAAATAAATAAATAAATAAATATTTTCTAAAAATCTCCCCAAGGTGGAGTTTGTTTTTTAGGACACAGGACAGGACCTCTTCCAGCCTATGGGGTGGGGAAGGGCTTATGCATACCATATGGGTATACCTCAGCAGTCCTCTAGGAAGATCTAAATAGGAACTCCAGCTAGGGTCCCTGTCCTTCCCTGTCTTATGAGGACCTTCCACCAATACAGACCCAGTTGGAGCTGTACACAGGTTTGCCTAAATCCTCTCCCTCCCTGTGGAGTAGCAGTAATCCCCATTCCCACCCTAAGCTCTGGTGTCTAAGGGATCTGTTCTCACAGCTTTGAGTTGGGACAAGCTCTCTGAGGGGAGGGTGTGGCACCAGCTGGCTTGGGCTAGACCTCAACTGCTGGGGGCAGGAGACCCTCAGTAGAAGGCTCCTTCTGTGTAACATCCCTCTGCTACATACTCACCATCACCCTCCTTTTCGCCCTCACTCTCTTGGTCACCCTCATAGCCAGAGCAGCAGTCTAGACTCCAGTCCAGGAAGCTGCCCAGTAGTGTCTCCTCCTGGCTGGACAACTCGGCAGTAGGTGTGGTGACAAAGCTGCCTCGGTCCTCCTGGATGCTGTTTTCCCGCTTCCTGTGAGAGATGGAAAGCCAGGAAGCTCCAATCATGCACCAACCTCAAACATATGCTCAGCCCTGGGCCCTCCCATGTGTGCTGGAAGGATGTGCAGGGCAGAGAATGCCCGTGAAGCTACAACCAGTGTGAGCCTTGAGTCTTGAGGCCAGGCTCAGCCTTGTTAGTTAGAGCTACCTGGGCCAATCATCCTCCAGGATATAGTCACAAGCTGCAGGCAGTGCTGGCACCGTCCCCCGGGAGTGCCACCTCTGCCCTCCTGAGATCAGGGCTGAGGCAGGAATATGGGCTTGTATCTGGGAGAAGCCACCATTTCTGCTGAGCCTTTGTGTTTCCTGAGTTCAGGGGATGGCCAAAGTTACCTTAATATAACCTGTGGAGGTCCCTTTCAGATGACTGATGGGGCTAGGGGAGCTGCTGGGAAACAAGTTTAACATAGGGAGACGAGGTATAGGGAGGAAGGGCCAGCAATTCTGCATCCCAAGGCGGAGATACATATCTGGCCTTCCCCTGTGGGTGACCCCAACCCATGGATAGTCAGGTTGTCATCTGCAGACTAGGATGTAAGTGGTGGTCTTCTTGGGTGGGCCCACATCACTCATATGCAACACCGTGGTGCATCATGGGGGTGGCTTAGGCTGCTTCTCTAGTAGCTTCTTTGGGGTTTCCCTGGAGTTCAAGGGACTGTGACCAGGGGTGTACTTCCTACACACTCATGGAGGTAGTCATGCTTGGCCAAGTGATGTAACAGGACTGATTCAACTATATAGGGCCTTCTCTCAGGAAGCTAAGGGTGCAGAGGGTGCTGAGGAGTTACAGAGGCAGGGCCAGCAGCACAGAGAAAGTCCTGTTTTTTGCAGAATCAGCAGGAACTCTCCAGATGGGTAATGTAGGTAAAAATTATTCCATGAAATAAAGCGAGAATGGTGATAAGAGCGATGGGAGTGGGAGGCTGAGGTAGAAGGATCACCATGAGTTCAAGGCTCACATGTGCTACACAGCGAGTCCAGAACCAATCTGAATTATACAGTGAGACTCACCATACCATACCACACCCCTAAAAAGAGAGCACAATGGGAATAAATAGGCGTACACATAAGCAAAGAGGGAGGGCACAAGCACAAGAAGGGAAACAATGAAAATGTTAATCAGGTTATAATACAAGTGCCAGGAGTGACAGCAAAATCCATGGAGAAGCGTGCCTCAGGATGGCACAGGCAAGGCTAAGGCTTAAGTCAGGAGCAACTGTGCTCAGAACCATTTTCCCTCAAAGGGAGCCAAAATAAAGCAAGAGAAGCAGGCACCTCTGAAAAGGGAGAGCTGGGGGATATGGAGCTCAAGAACACCTGCAAGGTCAGACTGCCTGGGTTCAAGCGCAGGTTCACCTATGTGGAAGTAGGACAGCCAAGGCGTCAGGGTGAGAATTCAGCCCTTGCCTGCAGCACTACCCTGCATACCCAGTGTCCCAGTGGGGGGACAGGACTCACCGCTTTGTTCTCCTCCCAGAGGGAGAGCTGAGGAAAGGGCAGATCTCCCCTGAACTGAGGAAAGCTGTGGGCTCTGGGCTTTCTTTCACTCCCAGTGCTGTACACAACTGGCTGTAGCTCAGCACCTAGGGAAGCCATAGTCAGCAAGAGGAAAAAGGTATGGTGGATGAGGCTGAAGAACCCTGATCCCACCCTGCACCCCATCAGACATCGAGGTGACAGGGCAGAGGAAGAGTACCTTTTCCTGGTTGATTTCTTCATAGCGCTTGTCCTCAAATCGTTGCTTCACGGCAGTCAGAGAGACCTGCCGGTAGTCCTTGGGGGCATCATCATGGAAGCTGGAAGTGGACACAGAGCGGATGTGAAGCACTCCCAACCCAGTTTTAGTTTGCTCCCTTGAGTGGAGGGGACAACAAGCTTTCAAAACCTGCCTAATGGTGAGGATAGGATGCAAAATAGTTTGGTGGCTTATCAAGCAGTTAAACAGTTTCCATATGACCCAGCCATGGTTCTCCCAAACACCAGCATCCTCCACACAGTTTCTTTTTCTCATGGGGCCTTTACCACCTCACACCTTGTCCAGCTATGTTCTGGCCTCAGCACTCGCACAAGATAAGGTGGGCAGACAGGAGGCTGCAGGACACTGAGGTCTGGAGCACAGGGAGGAGCAAAGCCATCACAGCTAGGACGGGGGGTGGGCAGCAGACAGGCACAGATGGGAGCAGCAGTGAGTCTGCTTGCCTGCTGCCTTCCACTTCCTCAATTAGAGGCTCTACTTGAAAAATGTGTGAAATTCTGTGCACTGTGAAAAAAATGTGTGAAGCATGGCCCTGAAATTTTAAAATGTCAACTTGAAAGATGTTTCTTGCATGAGACTCACTGAAGAAAGATCTGTGCTTTGACTGGGAGCTGTCACACGAAGACACACAGGGCTGAGTGGCAGAATCTGGCCAGAGGACACATTTCCTTACAGATCTGCCACTCTTTTTTTTTTTTTTGGTGGAACTGGGGATCGAACTCAGACCCTTGAGCTCGCCAGGGAAGCACTTATTCTACTAAGCCATCTCCCCGGCCCCCATCTTTTTTGATGGTTTGAGGGATTGAAAAATCACTAGTGAACTAGGTCCCCAGCCTTTTTTGGGGGGAGAGGCACCACAAGCATTCATCACTGTGACTTCGTGCCTCAGACTCACCACTTTTTATGTAGGTTCAAGACGCAGGGCATGAGGTCTTCACAGGAGAACCCAGTGAGGTCCCATAGTTGAGTGGTCCAGGGCTGTGCTAGGGAGCAAAGTAGGCCAGGAATGCAATGGTTGTCTGACCACTCCCACTTCATGAATCTGCAGGTTATATTCTGGGAGCTCAAACTGCAGTTTTTTAAAAAATGGCTTTGACAAGTCCCGGTACAGAACATGCATACTGTCAAAAGATTTGGGAAACCCTTAAACTAGAACCATCTCTCACACCCAACCCTAAGCTGCCTTTGGTCTATTCTGAAGGGATGGGCACCCCACCCCACCCCCATAATACTGAGGCATGAACCTGGTGCCTTCACACTGAACTATATCCCTGGTCCTTTTGAAAACTTTTTGAAATATGGCCTTACTAAATTGCTGTTGCTCAGGCTGGGCTCGAACTTACAGTACTCCTGCCTCAACCTCCTAGAAGTGCTGGGATTATAGGCATATGCCACTAGTGCTGGACACAAATTTCTTCCTGTCCTACTACTCTTCTATTTGAGGACTTTCCTTGCCACCAGCAGTCCCCTAGAGGGGCCATTCCTTACTTTGCCCATGCATCACTCTGGCCAGAAGCAGGGCTGCAGAGGCCAGGTGGGCTGGGGTGTAGGCAGACAGGCTGGTGTGAAGCAGAGAGAGTTCACAGAGGAAGCTGCACAGGTGCTGAGTTCTGGGTGCCACAGGGACCAGTGTCAGCAGGACTTCTTTGTAGTCGACCACAGTGGGGATCTAAGCAAAAGGAGAAGCTGGATGTGGGCACTTCTTCACCAACACTGCAAGCAACAGCCCCATAGGGACTTGGTTCGCGTTCAGGGCATCAGTGCATGTGGTGATGCTTTGGGCATGGCACAGAGAGCTGGACCCTGGATCCAGAGGATCTTCCAGACCAGGAAAGCTGGGTGTCTTCAGCTCTTCCTACGCCCACAACCCACACAGGGAGACAAAAGAAATCCCCACTTACTCGAATCTTCCCTTCCAGGGCGGAGACGATCTCTCCCATCATTCTCACCAGGTCCTCGTACCTATATGTGTTGTCTGTGAGCCACACAGCCTCTCGAATCGTCAGAATCTCTTTACTGACAAACCTGGAACGTGGAGATGGGCGCTTAGCTCTGAGTCCATTTCTTGAGGCAGGGATGAGAATTGGACGGCCTGGGGCTGTGGGGAGGCCTCAAGGTAAAGAGAACATGATGACTTCGAGCTTCAGTGCCAAAGGGAGGCTATATAACTAATCCAGCTGCCTCAGGCCAATAAGAAACATTAAAAGGTGTGATGCAGAACGTACTGAAAAAAAGAAAGGATTGTGCCTGGAAGTAGAGGCAGAGAAAGGGTTATCAATCAGACACAGCTATCTTTTCAAAAGGCCTCATGAGTGACTCTATCAATCAGTTTTCCTAATGATCTTAGAGACAAGGATTTGCCTTTTTTCTTTCTGTTTTTGAGACAGGGCCTCTCTATGTAGTGCAGACTGGCCTTGGACTCACAGTGATCCTCGTGCCTCAGCTTCCTGATGCTGAGACTATAGGCATGTGCCATCACACCTGGCTTTTTTTTTTTTTTTTTTTTTTTTGGTGCTACAGGGGACTCAATCCTAGGACCTTGCATATGCTAGGCAAATGCTTACTATTAAATGGTACTCCTAGACTGTACCTTAATTTTTTTGTGTGCAGTACTGGGGATTAAACACAGGGCATTATCTATGTTAGGCAAGCACTCTCTGACTGAAATACATCCCCAGCCCTTTAAAAAATGTTTTTTATTTTGATACCAGGAATAGTAGCTCATGCAAATAGCACTCTGGTAGACTAAAGCAAGAGAATTACAAAATTCAACAGTAGCCTGGACAACTTAGTGACTCAGCAAAATCCTGTCTCAAAATAAAAAAATATGTATATAATAAGAAGAAAATAGGTATGGGGGATGTAATTTAGTGTGAAGATTCTGAGTTTAATCCCTGGTACCAAATTCTTTTTAAATTTTGAGGTAGGGTCTTGGTAAACTGCCAGGCTAGTTTTTTTATCTTCCAGCCTCAGTCTCTTAGAATGGCCCTATCTTTTGCCAGTGTCTATCAATTAAAGTATAAATAATTTAAAGTATAAATAATTGAAGGTAAGTGAGTTAGAACCAAGAGTTAGAAGTAAAGCTCGCTCGCTCTCTCTCTCTCTCTCTCTCTCTCTCTCT